GAGCCGACCAGTCCTTGTTGTCCCTATTAATGCCGAGCGACAGGCAGAGACCATGTACCTGATGTAGTAACAAATACCTTCCCATGTAAGATTGGGATTAGACAGGGTGAAAATCTATCTCCCTTCCTCTTTGCTTTGTATATAAATGATCTTGAGTGTTTTCTTTATGAACATGATGTACCTGGCCTCGGACATGTAAATAGGCTTATTGAGGACCAGCTTGGTATCTTTATGAAATTGTTGATACTACTTTACGGTAGTACTTTACGCTGACGATGCTGTCATATTAGCTGAAACAAGTGATGGACTGCAAAAATCTTTGACTGTATTTGACCATTATTGTTAAAGGTCACATGCAACGTAAAACACAACTTTGCAGATTCTGATACCTTTCGGTCTGGACTTACCGAAACAAAGCGTCAAAAATGCAGATTCAACTTATAAAGTTGAAAAATAACGCGATGAAAAATACCGCGCGAAATCGTAGTTCAAACGATTCACTAACTTTCCCCCAGAGTTGGGGGAATTGAAGTGGTTTCAACAGCTGGGCTGCGCTCATAGCACATGCGCAATGAAATAGGTTCGCGCAACTTGGAAGCGGGTTGTACGGTGAATATTCGGTGAAGGCTTTGGTGTGAGCTATTTTTCTAATGTTTTGTTGATATTTCACATTCGCGAGCTTTTTATATGTTATTACAGAAGATTACCGATTTAACTGTTTATGTAATCTTATTTGTCTATTTCACCACACGTTCTTCTTACCGAGTCACTTTCTCAGTTCGATACTTCAAAGCAATGTCATTATTTAGCGTCGACAGAATTTCTAACTGTGATATAGATATGTCGTTGTCACAGACAAAACTCAATGTCTGTTTTGTTGGCACCTATATATGTGTCTGCCTGTCCGTCTGCTAATGACAATATTCAATACACAATTTCAATCACTGAACACATGCAATTTGAACTTAACACCTATCAGGCTATACACAATAAACAAAACGCATTGATTTATGGCCCGAGTTCGGTCTCTGTTACATTATGTAATTACACAGACAGGCCGGTGTGATACTTGTACACATGACATGTTATGATGTCTGTTGGTTGCAAAATGTTATACACAAAAAATGAGCACGTATTTACAAAACCCAACATCTCTATATATACACACACAATGAGCCGTGAGAGCATCTGCAAATGAACCGTTACACTTGAGTGCACACCCACCCGCTCTGACTGGGTTCGGTATCCCGGCTGCTTCGTTTATTGGGAAGTAAAATAGTACAAAATATTGCACTTTTCATTTGCGATTGTACGCTTATAATTTTGTTTTTATGTTTTTTCATAACCAGCAATGTATATTATATGTCATGAATAAGTGATAATTGTGTTTTAATTATGTTTGATTTTTTGGTTGCATGTGACCTTTAAGAATGGAAACTAAGAGTGGCTTTAGAAAAAAGAAAAACAAAGGTTGTTTATTTTCAAAAGGATATTGGAAGACGATATGCAACTTGACGTCAAGTGGTACATCTGGTGATATTTCAAATGAATATCTGAATCTTGGTGTACATTTCACTAGTAAGCTACTAAGGCAATGTTTTTTTTCTTCAAAAGCATTCGTCAACTTGATATTCCAATAGACTGCCAATTGAAATTGGTTGATGACCTTGTTAAATGAATTCTTCTCTGTGGCGCAGAAGTTTGGGGGGTTAAAAATGTTATCATCATCGGACGTGTCCATCTTAAAGTTTGTAAATATGTTTTTAACGTGACTTAACTTGGTTTTAGGGGGTGGTTAGAGTTGAAATGAATGTACTGGTCGGAATGGGTTGGTTTTCTGTAGACCGTGGTTTGGATTTTGTTGCAGGGGGTCCCATGGGGTTCCCTCTTTCCCCCATTCTTACTGAAATCTACATGACCCATTTTGAAGAAGTAGCCCTGGCCTCAACTCTAACCCCCCCCCCCAAAAAAAAGAAAAAACACAAAAAAACAACAACAACAACAAAAACTAACCTAAAAGGAGTAAGGGTATACTCCGAAACGCTGTGTTCCTCCTATTGTTCCTCCTATTGTATATCCTTGAAGGAGTAAGGATATACTCCGAAACGCTGTGTTCCTCCTATTGTTCTTCTTCTTGTATATCCTTGAAGGAGTAGGGGTATACTCCGAAACTCTGTGTTCCTCCTATTGTATATCCTTGAAGGAGTAAGGGTATACTCCGAAACACTGTGTTCCTCCTATTGTTCTTCTTATTGTATATCTTGAAGGAGTAAGGATATACTCCGAAACACTGTGTTCCTCCAATTGTTCCTCCTATTGTATATCCTTGAAGGAGTAAGGATATACTCCGAAACACTGTGTTCCTCCTATTGTTCTTCTTATTGTATATCCTTGAAGGAGTAAGGATATACTCCCAAACGCTGTGTTCCTCCTATTGTTCTTCTTATTGTATATCCTTGAAGGAGTAAGGATATATTCCGAAACGCTGTGCTCCTCCTATTGTTCCTCCTATTGTATATCCTTGAAGGAGTAAGGATATACTCCGAAACACTGTGTTCCTCCTATTTTACCTTATTGTATATCCTTGAAGGAGTAAGGATATACTCCGAAACACTGTGTTCCTCCTATTGTTCTTCTTATTGTATATCCTTGAAGGAGACCCGGTACATATTTAGTTGTGTCGTTGAACCAATGAAACTGTTTGAGTGGAATGTATTGGCCGATATGGTAAAGGTATGTATGATAGATCACCGCGAGTGGATCAATGTCCTCATGCTCATGATCATTGTCCACTGTCATGTTGCTCTTTACACCAAATGAAATTTGTTTCTAACGATAGTCCAAGATGGGTATTCTTTAGCACTGACGTTATACATTTACCTACGTTCGCATGAAAATGTACTAATGTGTGGTAACAAGGTACGTACATGGTGAAATGCTCCGTGTGTGTTTGTGTGTCTGTGTGTCTGTGTGTCTGTGTGTGTGTGTGTGTGTGTGTGTGTGTCTGTGTGTGTACGTGTGTGTGTGTGTAACTAATCATTTGCTTTTGCTTTTTTTTTGGCTTATAGCAAGAGTTTTAAATTGTGTGTAATATTCATATAGCCCATGTTTTAATTTGTACTTAATATTGTTGTAGCACCCGTTATTTTTGGTGTTCTTACTTCCCCATCTGGCCTCATCCAATTATGTGCCACTTATTGTTCAATTACATACTGTTCTTAATGTTAATCGGAAGTTTCTCACAACATACTATACACGTATCATTCTAACTACTTGGTTGTAGTCACTTTTAGCTTGATAGCGATGTAAGAATCTATACCAAATCGTCGCTCGATGCAATAAAGACGATTTCTTTTTATAAAGTTGTATGCTTCATTACTTTGAAGTACTATAGAACAGTATAACACGTACATAATAATTTTGAACATAATAATTGTAGACAATTCATTGTGATACAATACAATACACTATGATGGTATAATTGAAAAACAATTGGAACACTATGGAATATTTGAAAATATTGGGGTGTTTTAACACATAAATCTATGTATTTTCAACGTTTGAGGTGAGGAGAAATGGGACTGCGTTTGAAATGTTTTAATAGCATGCCCACTGACATCCTATGTGTGGCCACAGTTTAACATGGACACCCCAGTCAAAGACAACTGATTCATCCCCCGAATGACCAACTCCAGGCAGAGTAACAACAAGTAGCATCTTTTAACATGGATTGGTGTGGCGTGGCTCGGGAATCGAAGCACCGACCTTTCACAGTGCGGGTAGATGATCTATCCATTAGAACAGAGACAGTAATGCATGTACGAAAGAGCGTAAGTAATTTTTATCACAGTCTGGCTATAACCGTAATGATCTCGCCAAGGGCGAGGAGAGGAATAACTGATAATTGACAAGTGCGTATTTTCAAGTGTGTCAAACGTTCCATGCTTATTTGTTTTTGTCTTGAGGTGAACAGCTGACTTGTTATGGCGTTACACAGAAATACAGAGACAAAACAACTCAATCGGCAGAATCGAGAACTATCTTTATATAGATGAACATGATGCATGCAGTTTTACCGATGATGAAGACAATAATTTCACTCGTTTACTCTCCTCGCACAGAGGACTAAGATATACCAGAAAAACAAGTTGATGTGCTTGTAATGGTACTGTATGAGCCTCTCTTAAACTGTTACATCTACACTCATCACTCAACATGTTGATGAGGGGCGGTGGGGTAGCCTAGTGGTTAAAGCGTTGGCTCGTCACGCCGAAGACCCGGGTTCGATTCGCCACATGGGCATAATGTGTGAAACCCATTTCTGGTGTTCCCCGCCGTGATATTGCTGGAATATTGCTAAAAGCGGCGTAAAACTAAACTCAGTCAGTGATGTTGATGAGTGAGCGAGTTTGATTTCACTATAATCGTGTTAAACACTGCATCTACCTCTTTGATAGGCATTTAAAAGTTGAAGTACAAAGGAAAGATAAGAATATATAGAACCTATGCCGAAACGTCATTCCTGTTGTTATAAGGAAGCTGTTCATCCATGTATTCTTATCCTTCTTTAAAGTGATGTGGATGGAAATCCCGAACTGCTCAACAATAACTAAAACCTGTCTTGCGGAGATCGATATCACAGTGTGAACAAGTAAGTAGTTTAATAGAAGAACAATGGAAGAAGTTACAGCTGTCAGACAGTGTTGATTACTCAAATACAGAGAGGCCGTTCTTTGTGACACGTAGTAAACAATATCGGAAACACGTTGAATTTCTTTGTTCCGCCATGCGTGACACATGTAACATGTGGAAGATGCTTCCCTATGTCAGTATAATAGTGCCATAGTGCCTTAACGTAATCATATCGATTTGTTATATCACCGTAAAAACTTTATACACGATTAGTAGTATAATATTGTTTCATGCAATTGGAGACATACGAACAACACCAAATTACTTGATGGAGCATTCCAGTCGAACAAGACATAAGTCGAATGGCCGTTCTCTGTGTCACTTCACTTATGTGTTGATCTCCTGAGTTCCGGGTTTCACCTTCTCTATTCTGTTGAGCTCCTGAGTGCCGGACACAATGCCATACGGTCGTAAGTGGTAGATGTAAAACTCCAGATCGTACATCTTCTGTGGTTTCACGTAGTGGAAGGATATAGCGTAGTCGGAGATGCTGTCTACACCCTAAAATATATAATGATAATGTGAGCTCTGTACACTAAGCCAATAAATACTTACATGTCGACTTTCCTTCTATACCTAACAGTCTAGAATTAACAAAATTCTAGCTATTTGAGTCGTAGATAAAACTCGTTATGACATCAACTTTAAACCGATTGTCATATACAAGTGTGGAAAAAGTCACATTGTTGCATACAAGTGGAGGTATGTCTTTAGAAATCTAAAACTATTACTACTAATATGTATTGTTATATCTTTTGAGGTTTAAAGATTTGTTAATTTTTTATCATTGAAAATACGTTTTGCTTGATATGATCTAGGCTGCCCGAGGCATGCATAGAATTAACCCCATTCTTTCTAAATATCAAACCCCATGATATTTGTAGGATTATGAACCTTTCTTTCATAAAACAGAGATACTTTTTTAAAAGCTTTGATGAAATACACATCATCCAACTGTGCTCTTTCAGTGCATCAAATCTTTGTATTCTTGTGTAATAAATGTCACAGGCTAAAATCTGTTTGTCACTAACACTGCACCATACTTTCCAGCACTCTCACTGATGTTGGTGTAAACAGCCCACCTTACTTGTGGTCTGACTGGAACATCCTGGGCTTTGGCACATGCAGTCCCTGCAAATGTTGCAGAGGCAGGTCACATGACTGCTCTCTATAAAAACTATATGTGCCAGAGGCCAGGCACACACCATGTCAGGCAACAACTTTAACATGTTGTTAAACAGGTATGTTGTGAATTTGGAATGATAGTTGTATTTAAGTATGCAAAAGGTATTTATTTCTCAGGTATGAAGTATATTCAACATGATATTAAACAATGTTATGGGGAATTGCCAGTGATAAAATTAATTGTTCAAAATACAATTAATTCCATAGAATATATTTTGAGTATTTAGTAATTGATTAACATTTATATTATTTGTGTACACACACCATGTCAGGCAGCAACTATACCATGTTGTTGTGATCCACAGGTTTCATTCACCCAATAAAATACATCAGCTAGAATGGACTTTGTAGTTCCTGCGACATAAAGATATGCTGGACAGGAAACACTATTGAAGTGCATTTTCCACTATTCCAATTTTCATTGTATTTCTGGTAAGCATTGTATAAATTCAGTACATAAATCACAGATTTGCCTAATACAGATGTATCCAAAGCAAGTTACGCTACATCTGGCACCTCCAGCATCAAGCAATTTCGTTTCCGCCGCTTCAAAGCAGGACCATTGATGCTGACTAAATGATTCATCTGACAAACCGCCAAACAGGTTTGGTATAGTAACAAAGTAAAAAAGATTATTCTAATGAAAAAAACAGATTCTATCCAGATAAATATAACATACTGTGTTTCACTTACCTTCTTAGCAGCACCATTTGGATCGAACCTATAAAACCACCGTGGGTATTTACCCTCCAAATGGAACTCTGGCCAAAAACAATGGAATCTGCTCCTCCCGAGGGCGTCTGCTGTGTTGGCTGTCCTCACTCCCAGGTTTTCCATACATCTGCCGAACGCCACATCTTCTGAACCACCATCACGCCTGCACAGTTTGGGTTCGTGTCCCTTCTCCCCATATCTCCTCAACGCCTCCTTACTCAGCACATATCCCGCTCCGCCACTGTAGTACCCTTGTTTGACAAGTGTCTTGAAATGATGGCCAAAAAATACAGGTTCAGACTTGTTTTGGGACGTCAGAAAGTATCGGAGATTTTCTAAAATAACATAAGTGTCATCGTCAGCTTTCATGAACCAGTCAGCATCATCAAAGTGGTTTTCGTAAATGTAACGGAAAGCTTGCATTGTTTTGGCCGTCAGATGCTTCCGGCCTTCCGACACGTTTAATCCGATTGTAGGGAACTTTGGATCTGTCACAGAGCTCATGAAAAGGACTTTGTTGCAGCGCCTTGTCCACGTGTCACGAACGACACGTGCTTTAACATCCAGGTTCTTTGGTGACGTCATTATCCAGCAGAGTACTTTCTCCTTTTGATATAGAGCCTTGGATATGGCATCGTTATCTGTTCCAATAAAGCAAAAATCATCTTTAAACTATTTCGATAAGCACTTTCAAATAGCAATAATGCTAGATTGATACGTTGCAGCTATTGAAAGACGAGTGAATTAGTGAGATGTGGATGGTTCAGTGGAACGGTTTGATTCAGTCGGTAGGTCAGGTGATTGAGTGAATTGGGTTTTACACCGCATGTAGGTTTATTCCAACACGATTATAATGGGGATAGCTGAAATTGGTTTCTCACTGTGAACTGATGTGAGAAATAAAATTGTGGATTGACAATGCAATGTTTTAACCACAAGAGGTGTGGTTGAGGTTAAGTGTGGTGTGGGCCATCACTTCCCAGGGACATCAAAAAAGGGATTCACACAATGTACCAAAGGGGGAAACCCAACCAGTTAGGTCCATCTAATCAAATACAACTTGGCTTTCAACTTCACCGACATGGCACACGTAATTAGCTGTTCAACGAAATGTCTTTGAGCTATTTCGATAAACAATTTCACATAGTGATATTGGTCGATTGATACGTTACACCTTCTCAAAGACGAGTCAGTGAGTGAGTTGATGGATGGTTCAGTGGGTTGGATTGGTTTGGTTGGTAGATCGTGTGAGTGAGTGAGTGAATTGGGTTTTACGGAAAAGAAATAGCGCCCACTTTTGTGAGATAATTTACTACATGCGGCTACCTGGAGGAAAAAACATGCCTATTTGACATTTCATGAATCCCCAGCGAAGTAGATTATTTTCAGAAAAAGCCACTTCTCTCAATGCAAAACGAAACTATCTAAAAGCAGTAAGTAAGGCAGTATCAGCAATATACTGTAACACAAATCCAGTCTTACATACATTCACAACCGTATATGTGTTTGTTATCATTAAGATTAGAAATAATCACGTACATAGAAATCATATAAAATCTAACTTCGTGCCGTGTTGTTTCATTGTCCTATCCAGATGCCCGTGAAGATCCGGGTTAGAATTGGTCTTCAGCAACCCATGGTTGTCGTAAAAGGCAACTAAGGTTATTGACTCGCTGGCTTGGTTAACACATGCCATCGTATCCCAGTTGCTGAGATTAATGCTCATGCTGTTGATCACTGGATTGTCTGGTCTGACTGGATTGATTACAGACCGCCGCCATATAGCTGGAATATTGCGGAGTGCGGCGTTAAACAACAAACCAATAAACGTCTCAATAGTTCCAGCATAGTTCATCTGCAACAGGCAGCAGCCTTGTGACGACTTTTCACTCTCATACAGTCAATTTTAGATACCACGGATGTTTTTTCATCTGTTTAATTTTTAAGAATCCTTATCTATATTAACATTCGTGACAGAAATGGCAACTTTCACAGAGAAAATATCCTAAAACGTGAAGCACTATTTCTAGTCATTCTTTGTTTGCGTTGGTTGTGCTGGCATCAAAGTCCCAAAGGAGCCCTGGCAATATGGTCTTGTTGATGTATATCTATCACGTCATGCTCGTCACTGCCATAGATTCAGCTGTATATATATATATATATATATATGTTATTACACAAAACAATATGCAGACTTCACCGAAAGGCTTACATTAGGACAGTATGTCTGATCTCACAACAATCGCGTTTGTTTACAAATAAGGGAAAGGTTCCATCCCGTGATATGCAAATTAGCCAGTGACAGTGATGTTATTCTACGTCATCACTGTGTCAGTGTGGCATTGTTCAGCATCGATGACGTTATTCGAATCTGTGCCGTGAGATGAGAATGACGTCACACCTGAAACGATGGTATGGCTGAAGATTGTTACAGTCGCATGTATGTCATCAATATTAAACTAAACCTGTGTATGTATTAAACACACACACACACACACACACATACCCTCCCCATCGGCACTAACCTTTATGGAGACGCAGGTCCTCAAATTTGATATTTCCAGACAAGTATTGTCCCAAAGACTTCGGGAATTCTTCATGGAAGTCCTTCGATAAATTCTGCATCTCCCTTGAATGAACATCTTGTGAATGTACAGTGTTCACAATAGACGAGACGAAATGAAAGTCGGAATGTTCAATTTTAAAGAACACAACACAAATGGACGCCAACGAAAATCCAACTGTTAAACCTAACACAGCAGCAGATAGTTTTGTGACAGGAGGGAAGGTGGCCATTTTTCAGTTATTTCACTGTTGTTGATTTACATCCACGTAGTTGGGGCAAATCTCTCCCTTTGTAACTTGTACCTTATCAATATTTCCCTTTTCAGGAATTATGTACGTTTTTGAAACCTGATATTTGTAGCCACTGTATGGATATTGACTTTCAACTCTCCAGCGCCTTTCTAACAGTTAATCGTTGATCGCTGGAAAGAGGCTGAAAAGAAACAAACGATCAATCAGATTGTGTTCAATTGGACAGTTATGATGCGTTCATAAAAGGTTATTAGATTTAAACAAAATTGTTCACCTGTATGCATTCCATGATTACCTTTGACAGGGCGCTTGCCATCAGGACATCTAAATAACACACGTTTAAAAATGCCTATTCTAAACATATAACGTAGATGTATATATACCTGTAGTATTGATTCGGCAACATTTACGTCTTGAGGTGGCTGTTAGTATGTAACAGATGTCCATTGAAGGGCGAGAGCCAGACTTTTGTCTGGTGTATCATGATATTGTAACACATCATAAAATGTGTATAACTGCCATCAATTAGCAAGTCATTTGGTGACTGTTGGTAGGCAATTAATAGGTTTCTGTAGAAATCATTGGCTACTGGAAATAGACTCACAACATAACACCCATCGTCAATTTGCCGTGTGTTGGTTGGGGCTTGGGTATTGCAGAGAATTCATATATTGCGATATATTGCGATGCGAAAGCATATATTGCAATATGTATTGCGATATATTGCAAGAAGAATTTTTAAACAAAAACCTACTTATAATCGACTTAATGCTTGTTTTATAAAGCAAAAATAGAACAAAATCAATATGCTTGATTAAGCTTTAATAACAGCTTTTAATCATGACAAAAAAAAATTAAATATTTTTTAGCACAATGAACCAAGGTAATATTCGAAGATTTCCGAATGTTACGAAGTTTTCCGAATGCAAGTCAAAATATCGGTTTTCGATCGGCGTATCGCAATACGTATCGTTTTCATTTCTGCACCGGTAAATACCGGTAAAGCGGTTATATCGCGCAGCCCTAGTGTTGGGTATATACGGTGGGTGGGAGCAGTCTGTCCCCTTTAGTCAGAATTCATCAAACAAAACTATAACGGTTGGTAATATATATGTTAGATTCCTCACCTCCCTTCAAAAACATATTCTTTGCCGTTCCCAACACTGATTATTTAATACATTATCGCCGTATTCAGCATAATTTCCAGCTGTGTGACCACGGCCTGGTGTCAGTCGAGTTTTGACAACACGATGATGCCTGTTATAAGCGTCCATCAACACTGTCCAGTACAATGATGGGCAATGAGCCGGAGGAGTCTCGCCAGGCCGACATTTGAACCAAATGGACATGCGGGTAGGTGCGCCAGGCCGACTTGCCGGTGTCCTTTGATGTAATTAACGCCAATTATCATTGTTTTGACAGTACGGGGGTGGTGTCAGCTCATGACGAGTTCACCACTTACTGAATATACTTTGCAAGAGTTAGTTCTAGCTCATGGTTTAATTAACGAGTTCACCAAAGAGGCCTCCAAAGAAGACGAAATACCCTAATTTGGACACACCGTTCTTGACTCTCAAGGACAGACTTCAAGCCAACCGTACCACTCCAATTCGACAGTTCTTGGACGAAGTTGCGGCTTGCTTGCACTTTGAATGAATATAAGTATGTCATGTGAATGAAATAAATGTATGAAATCTGATGGATTGAATGGAATGTCTGAATGTATTTAATAAATGTATGAAACGTGCTTAAAATTAATGTATTCGATATATATAAATTGCCCAAAATGTATATGAAATGTATGAAAAGTGCTTGTGAATGATAAATTGTATAAATAAATGAACGAAAAAATGTATAAAAATGTACATGTTTGTGTTATGAAGTGATGAAAATATAGACTGGAAATATTCGAATCATCTTGCCAGGCGTAAATAACTTTTCCCAAACTATTTTTTGACATGTTCCCCAGGTTTAATCCACCACTTCCATTGTTTCGCTAATCCTTTTTAAATTGGCAAAGGTAAAATGTTGCGCCAGGACGACTTGCTAGAAGGGGCAAAAATGAGCACATTAACCCGATTGTCGGCCTGGCGGTACCTCCCCCAATGAGCCATGCTAGGTAAGAGCATGACAACGATTACCAGTTTCACTCTCTCACTCACACAAAATGACTTCCTCACTCACTCACTCACTCACTCACTCACTCACTCACTCACTCACTCACTCACTCACTCACTCACCCACCCACCCACTCACTCACTCACTCACTCACTCACTCACTCACTCACTTATTTCTATACTGTCAGAATCGATCGGATATAGTTTCATTGACTGACCCCTTACCACTATATTTCATCATAATTCTGACAGGTAGTTTTCTCGTTATGCCGAAAGGAATTAGTTTATACAATATTGAAGTGCTGGTATTCTTTTGTATATTGATATATACCATTTTATGTTCAATTGCAACAATAATATAAACATAAATCACAAATGAGGAGAAATGTCCATATCAATAATAATAAAATTTGTTAATTAAATATAAGGTCCAATGCCCAACAAATGCTAATAGTTCAATCATAAGGAACTTGGTTTGTTTAAAAAAAAATCTGACACGTGCACATGCTTGACGTTTGATGTGATACAATTTAAACTTAACAGAACAATACTATCACTTGAGACTTGCGATCCTTCAAGAAACACGAGTGCACAAAAGGCGTTTTTCAATGTTTATCAACACATTTCTATACTGTCAGAATGGATCAGTTATAGTTTCATATACTGATCCCAAAGCAGATGTTGCTTGAAATATTCACTACCATTCCACTCTCAAATGGTGTATGACCGCCTCCGTGGTGTAGTGGTTAGAGCGTCCACCCGGAGAGCGGAAGGTCGCGGGTTCGATCCCCGACCGCGTCATACCAAAAGACGTTAAAATATGGTACTTGTTGGTCCCAGCCTAACGCTCGGCATTAATGGGTACAACAAGGACTGGTCGGCTCGGAGTCAGTATAATGTGTCTGAGTGGGGTATTCATGCTTCACTGCGGCATGGTATCTCAGTGGGATAGCACTATAAAACCAGCTACAGTCTGGGCTAGTACAAGCAGCCTCACATACACATACACACGCATGCACGTCGTCATATGAGCGAAATATTCTCAAGCACGAAGTTAAACCCAATTTCACCTCACCTCACCTCACCTCACCTCACCGCAAATGGTGTATGATGTCAATGATCAGTTACGTTTCAGAACTTTTCGGTCGAAGACTCCTCAATACTCGAGGAATTATTTTTATTGATCCTGATACTCAAATCTATTTCGAGGACTACATGCCATACAGTAGGTTGATACAATTGTAATGAGATATAAGGTCTCAATATCTTCTTGTTCTACTTTGTCTGGCGCAGCTGTTGGCTGCTGCTCTGACTGCGACAAGAATGGTTATCGATAACATTACCTAAAACGCGTTTGAATACATATGCAAGTGGGTTTGTACGCATATGACACATAATATTCAACACTGGGTCTATTGATTAGGTCACAGTCGTACTGAGGACGTCGCGAATATCCCCTGTCGCAACGTGTACTCCTCGTCACAACGTCGAAACATCATTTGCTTGCTTTTGGTCTCTTACAGTGATTTTCGTTGTAGGACTCCCTTGCTCGCTCCCTCTCTCCCTCCTCCACCCCCTCACTCATACTACGCAAACAGTTTCATTAGCTGAACGACAAAACTAAACATGAACCGATTCCAATACGAACCAAACAATATCACATACATGCATACCTTTGCAATACCTGAAGCACCATGCCATGCAGCAGGATAGTAACAGCATGGTTAGTGCATGCATCAGGTGAAAAAGAATCGTTAAATATCAACATTCAGGTCCGCGAATTCCAGCAATTGGCCTAGTCCACAGTAAAATGCTCCTGAAATAATAAAGCACAGGTAGACGAATAGTTGATAGTACTAGCAACGAGTCACGAAGCCCAGTGACACCTATTTAGCAAAGTCGCAGAGCCTTATTATCAGACCTAGCGCAGTTTTTACGGGTGGGCAATTTCCAAAATCGAATGCAAAGGGTAACTCAGAAGACAGTACCTCCGTCACGCACTAAATTATAAAATCATTTGTAAATCGCATTTACAATAAGGGTGTTCTTTTATTTACAAGATGCAAAAAATACATTTGTAAATTTAATGTAAACCGTTTTGGCTTTTCTTCAGATGAATCATCCAGTCAGCATCGGTTTCCTGCTTTGAAACGGCTGAAACGAAATTGCTTGATGCTGGAGGTGCCAGATGAAGTGTTACCTGTTGGGAAATTTGGATACATCTGTATTAGGCAAATCATTGATTTATGTACTCAATCTACACATTGCTTCTCAGAAATACAGAGGAAACTTGAATTTTGGAAAACACATTTAAATAGTGTTACCTGTCCATCATATCTTTATAACACAAGAATACAAAGATTTGATGCACTGAAATAGCTATCAGAGTTGATGATGTGTGTTTCATCAAATTGTTTAAAATGTATTTCTGCTTTATGAAAGTAAGGTTTATAATCATAGATACATTATGGGATTTAACTTTTTTTTTTTTTAAAAAAAGAAAAAAAGAAGGGGGTTAGTTCTATGCATGCCTGGGGCAGCCTAGATCATATCAACCAAAAACATATTTTCAATAATAAAATATATATACAAATCTTTAAACCTCAAAAGATATAACAGTACATATTAGTAGTAATAGTTATAGGTTTCCAAAGACATACCTCCACTTGTATGAAACAATGTGACATTTTCCGCCCTTGTATATCAAATAGTCCACATATATCCAGGGCACCTGTTTATGAAAATCGAGTATAGTGTTGATGTCATAACCACGTTTTCACTACGAATCAAATAGCCACAATTTTGATAATTCTGGACTAGAAGGTGTATAATGAAAGTTGACATGTAAGTATGTCTTGGTT